GGACGGAGAAGGGGGAGAAAGAGAGAGAGAGAGGGGGAGAAAAGAGAAAAGAAAAAGAAAAAAAAGGGGGGGAGGGGGGGGGGGGAGGGGGGGGGGGGGAGGGGGGGGGGGGGGGGGGGGGGGGGGGGAGGGGGGGGGGGGGGGGGGGGGGGGGGGGAGGGGGGGGGGGGGGGGAGGGGGGGGGGGGGGGGGGGGGTTTTTTTTTTTTTTTTTTTTTGTCCCGAATTACATGGGCTGATAATGCTTTTTTTTTTTTTTCTAGATAACAATTCCTCTCGCGAAGCACATGCAAAGCAGAAGGTCCTTCTACAAGAGCGAAGAGCCGCGAAGCCTAACGCCGACATCATAGCTCGTTCAAAGCAGCTGTGGGAGCGTCTGCGTCGCAAGTCTCACGTCCCCCTTGAAGAACGGAAGAAACTTATTACCGAGCTTTTTGAGATCATCAATGGGAGAGTCAAGGATTTCGTTTTCAAGCACGATTCCGTACGGGTCATTCAGACCGCTCTGAAGTACGCAAACATCGAGCAGCGGAAGCAGATCGCGCAGGAACTGAAGGGTCACTACAACGAGCTGGCGCAGAGCCGCTACGCCAAGTTCCTAGTCGGCAAACTGCTTGTTCATGGCGATACCGAGGTGCGCGATCTAATCATACCGGAGTTCGTTGGACACGTTAAGCGGCTTATTCGCCATCCTGAAGGATCTTGGATTTTGGACGATGTCTATCGGACGGTTGCGACCAAGGAACAAAAGGCAACGCTTCTTCGGGAGTGGTATGGCCCAGAGTTTTCGATATTCAAGGACGAATATAAGTCTGCCGAGCTTTCGGAGATTCTGGAGAGGAACCCCGAGAAGAGAACGCCCATTATGCACTTCCTGCACGAGATGATCAACCAGCTGGTGCAAAAGCGGACGACCGGGTTTACGATGCTGCACGATGCCATGCTTCAGTACTTTCTCAACACGAAACCCGGCAGTTCGGAGGCCAACGAGTTCATTGAGCTGCTCAAGGGGGATGAAGAAGGAGATCTTCTGAAGAACCTGGCTTTCACCAAGTCTGGCTCGCGGGTAATGTGTCTAAGCTTGGCCTACTCCAACGCTAAGGATCGGAAGCTGCTCACTCGCTCTTACCGCGATATCATCAAGATGATGGCCGGCGACCTCCACGGCCACATGGTTCTCCTGGCCGCATACGAAGTCATCGATGACACCAAACTGACATCAAAGATGATTTTCCCCGAACTTCTCAATCAAGGTTTGGAAGAGGAGGCGCGCAATGAGGAGCTGCTTTACCAGGTTAATGACCTGACGGCGCGGATACCTATTCTCTTCCCCTTTGCCGGAGACCGCGTCAAGTGGCTTGTACCAGACTTCGACCAGGAAGTGTTGAAGGAGATTCGGGAGATCCGAAAGGAGACCTCGAAGAAGGACCCTGCTGTCCGTCGTCAGGAGCTGGTCAAGGCGGCATCTCCCACTCTGCTTAGTTTCATTGCCGCTCGCGCGGAGTCTCTCCTGGAGACCAGCTTCGGATGTCAATTTATCGCCGAGGTGCTGTTCGACGCTGACGATGACAAGGCCGCCGCCCTGTCGGCCGTTGCCGCCGCCGCCAAAGCCAAATCAGACATGAAGGACTCACCTTTCTTCGGACGACTGCTCAAGTCCCTGGTCCAGGGGGGTCGGTTCAATACGGCGGAGAAGGTGGTGGAGAAGGTGCAGCCGCCTCTGAACTTCCATGCCCTGCTGTACGAGCAGATCAAGGATGAGATCATGACGTGGGCCACGGGACCCAATACGTTCGTTGTGGTCGCACTAACGGAGTCGGATGAGTTTTCTAAGAAGGATGAGCTATTGAAGACGCTGAAGAAGGGCAAGAAGGCGCTGGAGCAGGCGTCTGCGGAGAGCGCGAAGGATGCGAAGAAGAAGGCCGGACCGACCAGCAGCGGAGCCAAACTGCTGCTGGAGAAGATTCGATGAGTTGTTGTATAGTTGGTAGGCGGATGTTAAAAAGCATGTTGTAATTCTGGTTGAATCGTACATGGGTCTGGCCAATCTGTTGGATCTTTCTTATATCGCCAGGGCATATATCAAGGGGTTTGTACAGGGTCTATCATTACTACTAGGGCCAATCAAAAGCGTGATATTCCAACTACAGAACTTTCACAATGAACTCGTGCCTCTCGATGGGCCGAAGCGATTCGAACAGGTACTCTGGAAGTGGCCAGACTAGTGGCGTCCGGACAGACTGATGGCGCTTCAGGGAGAAGTTGACAGTTGATACGTCCAAAACCGGTGCAATTAAGTTTGTTACCACATGGCAAAGAATCAGACAGCCAGATTTACTTCATTACAATGTCAAGTAGTCCTAGTATTTGAATGTTCAGAGCTTCAAGAACTCAAGAACTCAGGACTCAACAGATAAATACAGCCTAGAGGGAAGTTTAGAGCGGGATCAGCAGAAAGTCATCCATGGGACACGGTTCAGGGGTAAACACTAAGTAAACAGACTAAGAGGGCCAGTTGACCACTGCTTCTATCTATCTAGATGATGTCTATTTGCAAATATCCTTGCAAGATGCAGGTACAGCATCGATAGACTAGATGTCTACCATCAGAGTCATATTATGATTTCAACACCTTCATCACGACCCACAGCATACACGCTTGCTTTCCATCAAGGAGTCAGCCATTCCCAACGTCAAGCGAAATTGGATTAAAATTTGTCTTGAATGGTCGATGATCTTACCAGCACGGATCCCTGCCTCTTTGGGCCTGGCTGCGAAAAGAATGGGCTCTTCTAAGGAAGTTTAGGACGACTACTATGATACTATCCATCTAACTAACTACCTCTCTGGTCTTAGCGACTTTGACTTTGACTTCCTTCAGGGTCATCGGAGAAAAAAGAAGACAACCATGTCTCCCTCCCAATCAATCACCCTTTCGACGTTTCCTTGTGTCTTGTCTTACTTCCGTTGCTGTCTTCTGTCGTCATTAATGCTTAATCTTAATTCATAATTTCCGCCTTTCTCTGTCGCCCGTCAAAGCGGATCAATTGTCTCGGGGCTGATTCGCGACTGCATAAACGGATTAGGATCCTACAGGCTGCGTTGCCATCTCTTTCATTCATTTCAACCTGCAGGTTCTGGGCTATCGTTGGGTTTTGGGTTGAAACTCTCGTCTGTCGATCACAGATGGCCTTATGTTGAGATTACCAGTCTTTACCTGTGGACTCATCGCCCGACCGTTCTCCAGTTCTACACCGTCTCTCAGCGTGAAACCACCCCATCACCAAATCAATGCTGGACAGTGCATCCTCTGGGCGCAATGCCCGGCACCATCAACATCAACAGCCTCCACCAATCATCCCACCCTCCCCGACGTTATCGAACCCAGATATGATCCTGCCATTCGACGTAGGCGAGCGCGAGTCCTCCACTCCGTCTCCGCCATTCAACTTACCCTCCTTGTCCCATCTCCAAGCATTCTACGAGAATAAACCACTGCCAAGTTTACCCGGCACCGATAGTTCGCACGGCGCACCGTATCCTCCCTCCATCCGGCCGCAGAAGAAGAACTTTCCGCGACACACGTGGCTGCAGGATAGTCGTGACGCGAGCCGTCGTCTTTCAGATATCGGGGAGGAAGATGCCGGGTCGTCGCCGCACAAGGGGGGAGGTTCTGGGAACTTGGGTCTGGCGTCGCGTGGTTCCGCACCTAAATTGGCCAGTTCTCCTGTGTTATATGAGCAGGGGGAGAAGGAGACGAGAGACCACAAGGCGTGGAGTAGCTCGTCTGGGTCAACAGTCGGCGCTGTGAGCGAGTTGTCGCTGCGGGAAGTGACGAAGAACGATTCGGATGGGTCTGGAGCTTTGACAAGCGAGGAAGTTCAGGGCGTAACGTCGGTTGCCGAGGAGAAGGGACCCGACGATGAGTTCTCATCGGCTATTTTGGAAAGTGAAGCGGAGCGCATCCTCGAAAATGCCAAGAAAAAGCTAACGGTACGTTATGCAGTCAGCGGCGAGTTCTGGACTAACCTGGCTACAGCTCATGGAAGGAAACCTCTCCCGGGCCCGATCGTCGATGCGGTCGTCGCCCTCGCTTTCATCCTCACCATCGCCATCGGCTGGCACTCAGCCATTGGGACTCGGACAGCCCGTTGGGGGTTTATATCAGTCAATCTCCCGAGCGGACCGCAGGGCTTCGGCTCTGCGCCCTCGGGCAACATACACCTCGTCGCAAGATTCGGCCAACAACAGACATTCGCGGGTTTACAGTGAAACCAACCTACCGTCAACAGCGCCGTCCAACCCTCCGTCTACCGGGCCTAGTCTGTCACGATCCTTGAGTGCCATGGGGTCGAGCACTTCCTCCAATTTTCACAATGATGAACGGTCGTTTCACTATGAGGCAACCCGAGCTTATCTCACTCACCGCGCCTCTGTGTCATCAATGCAGCCACCGGCGGCGATTCAACGCGCACACTCTGTCAAACAGAGTGGGAGCAACTCTGAGACGCCGAAGGGACTGGGTATAACAAGCCCTGACGTGGACTCTGACAAAACTCACAAATATGAAGAATTCAACTCTGCTCATCCCTCTCACGACCCTCCCTCTCGCGCACAGTCACAGCTTCAAGTACGAGATCTCCAGGATCAGATGAAGGGGCTTCACATCAAGATTTCCAGTCTGAAGGTCAAAGCTCAAGAGGACAATCTCCGGCGGCGAAGCCTGCAGAGCTTGAGAACGCCAAGTCCGTTCACCGAGGGGGACCAATGGTATCCGAGCGCGTTGGAGCTCAAGAACAGCAATGGCAGTCTTCGGTCGAACATGGGACGTGGGCGTACTGCCGAGGCTCAGGAACACCAGCACCACCAGGAACGTCAGGAACGAGAGACCGTAGGAAATGGATGGGCGTATGACCGGAGAGACCATCAAACCGAGCAACCAGAAGCAAAGCTTCGGCGAAAGCCTAGTGCTGCTTCTCATACCGTTTCGCATACGGATCACGACGACAGGAAATCGATCAATGAGAGTCTCTATGAGGATGCAGAGGAGGGAGAATACGACATGGACGGCTCCTCGTACTGGGACATTGACCGTGAAGCTTTGGAGGAGATACTTCGCGAGCCCCTGGACGACGAGGACTTGGAAGAGTCTTTGGAGGCCTTTCCAGCTGTGCCTCAGCATACCGAAATGACACCACACGAGGAGCGCGAGGACGCGTTTGACTATGAGCACTTCATTCTTCACAGCGCCTTGGGCAACTACTCGCAGAGCAGACTGCGCCGCACGAGCAATGTATCGACCTCGTCTGTTGAAACCACACGGCCCTTCCACGAAGCTTCTGGGACTCGCCATTCACGGTCTGACAGTACGGCCTCCTTGTCCACCATTGCAACGTTTGCCACAGCGACAGAGGGCGAGGACGATCTTGAGAGTGTTCTCTACTGGGACAGGAAGTTCAACGACGGTAGGTCTTCGGGCGAGCCAGAGGAGGAGTCAGCAGTCACTAACTTTAGCAGAACTGCGGACCCATCAACACTATACTGAGCCTGCAGCCAGTCACAAAGAGACCGATTCGGGATCCATGGGGACGCCGCGTGCATCACGAAAGCAGGCAAGCCACAGCGGGACGGCGAATGGAAGTGCGGACGTCTCGTCGAGAACCTTTTCTCCTGTTCAGCGGTCAGATTCGGCCACGAGCTCCCTCGTCTCCTCGCTCGTGTCGACAGTGCGGGCTGCGTCAAGCCCTCATCCGAATACAGAAAACGGGAAATCCGGTCTCAATAACGACGATACTCGGCTCTTGGAGCAGGTGTTCCGAAGCCTGGGGAAGGTCTGCCTGGACCTGCAGACGATCACTGCCTCTGCCGAGCCTGATCCGAAGAGGGTGCGGGTCTTGCGACGGCGATTAGATGCGGCTCGGAGAGTGTTGGATGGCGAGCTTGACGCTTGATTTGAGCTGGAGGTAGATCGAGCGACACTGGGGTGTGTGGATGATAATTGATTATTGTTGTTGGGGGCTCTGTCTCGACTTGCATTTTGCGATGGTTCGAGGCTTTTTCATGATACCCTTTTTGTCTTCGCGCTGCGACTGTATATATCTTACTTGGATTTCTACTGCCATAATGCGGCTTAGCCTCCACCTGCAACCGATGATTTTGCGATGTGATTTGTCATTTAAGCATCGAATTGTACTTGTATCAGATATATCAATCGTCCTCAAATCTAATACCCTTTATATACTGGATTTTGCAATGGTCATTGATTGATATTGTTATCAATCACAAAAACCCCGCTAAACACGTGGACTTGACGCGACTCGACGCGTCTAACCCCGCCAAACTTCCATTGATTGCTTGATATCATCGATGCTTTATGGATTAAATGATGGAATTATCCTCGAATCAGAAATCCAAATGCGTCATATAAGGGGATAATTCCGTGGACTTAGTCACCATCAAGAGCTTATTTGCCCCAGAGTCCAGCTGTGCAGCTCGACACAGTGTCCCCATACAGAAGTGCAGTACGCATTCAGCAAACATATCTTCAACATTGAATCATATCAACTGCAGATTTCCAGAAGCCATAACTGCAACCCGAGTCATCTTCACTCGCGCATGAACCCACCCACCAACAACACCAATCTCCCCATCTGCATATAGATCATGGACCTCGACCCTACCCTCATAAAGTCGACCAACTCCACAACAAGCCGGAGCAGCTTGAGCGCCAGAGACACAATCGCAAACCCAAATATGAATACAGCCCGCCTCTCCCGCCGTCTCCTCATCTTCCAGGAAGCCCGCAACCCAAGCAACATGAATGAACTCGTCTACCTCCCTGTCAACAAACTGGGCCTGCCGATCTGCGGCCCGGGGCCAGAGCTACCCTCCATCCTGGAACTCCCCTTGCGGATCCTGAGGGCGTTTACGGAGATTTTCAATCAGCCCAAGTATAAGGGGTGGTAAGTCTGCCTCTTTCTCTTTCGTTATACATATATGTATATACGTATTGCTGACACCGACAGGGCGGTTCTGGCGGCAGGCCCGTACCATGATACCTCGGAAGAGGGCAAGTATTATGCCGTGGTGCTGGAGCAGACGCGGGAGGAGGCTGTGTCGTGATGACTTGGGTTGGCTGTTGGATTGTACGCTATGATGATGTGATGATTTCCCTGTTCATTCCCCTTTGTTTATACCGTTGTAGTTGGATAAAAGACTGCTGGGATGGAGACGTCCACTCCCTTTCACTCCGACGTTACTATGTGCATCATTCACGATCTTCATGTATCTTAAAGCCATGTCTCCCCGTTCCCCTCTACCTACCACCTCGACCAGTCTACATCCACAAGACAGTCAACCCATCTGCCAACATGACTGTACGTCCCTCCTCTACACAAACAACTACACAAAACCTAACCCCCACAGACCACCCCCAAACAATACCTCCTCCTCATCTTCCGCCAATGGGGCGAAACATACTGGCTCATCAACAGACCAGGCCTCCCCATCTCACCCGACTCCCCACTCATCCACAATACCCCCAGCGACCCGATCCTCATCCCCGATCTCCTCGCATCGCTCACCGAGTCCCTGACGAGCGATAGGACTGTTTACACCGGATAGTACGTTGCCCACCAACCCGCAGCCACCATACCACTAACAATGACCCACCCAGTCAATTCGTAAACACCTGGACCACCGACGAATCGACCACAGATCACTTCATCCTCCTCGAACGCTCCCACCCCACAAACAAGGCCCAGCATCAGCATCAGCATCAGCATCAGACTCAGACTCAGAATCAGGACCAAGGAGAAGCAGAAGCAGAAGCAGAAAACAACGCGTCAAAGGACATCCCGCTCAACCACAACCACCGCACCATGCCCGGCTCCATCAGCTGGGTCTCGAGGGACATGTCGCGCATCAACGAGCATCTCTCGCAGGCGCTGGAGATCTGTGGGTCTGACCTGTGTGCCTTGCTCGCGCAGGAATGATATCGTTCGATTGGGTTTAGCTGATGGAACAAGGTCCTCCTTGGAGGTGAGGTGCTGGGGCTTTATGTGGAATCTGTGTTGTTAGTTACCTTCGATCGGGGCAAGCTACTCTGGAAGCCATTCATGTAGATGCACTATAGATGCACTTGATGTACAATTATTGAATGGATTCGGCATTTGTGACTTGGAAATGGAGTCATCATTTACTGACAATATTAAAGTTTATAGAACTAAAACTGTAGGATCGGCCATATCTCCTCATCCTCGATGGTCTAACGGTCATGATTTCCGCTTGTCACTCCAACGAGAACGAGCGCGGGAGACCAGGGTTCGACTCCCTGTCGGGGAGAATTTTTTGGCTTTTTCGTCTGCTCATTTTACTGCTCTTCTCGATTTTTGTATGGTCTCTATAAGATTTGCAATGCATTGTATCTCCTATTTTCTGAAAACATTGACCTCCGCATTGTCATATTAAAAGTGACCTAGTAACTCGTACATTAAATGATAAACATACATCCTTCTGGAGAATAGGGCTACAAGCACAAGCTTGGCAAAGGAAGGACAGACAAATCCCGATTGAGCCGCCTCCATCGTCAGGTAACCTTCCCATCGAAACTTCACTGTAGTACATAAACCGATCGCAAACCGCTTCATTCTAATTTTCATGATCACATCAATTTCGCTTCCCACGCTGTGGTCGTACTCAGGCCAACCGTCAGATCACGTGTAAACATTCGTGGGGGGAAGCAGCTTTGCACCATAGCGGAGATCGAGAGAGCGAGAGTCGTGGGGATCGAAAACCGCGGCCTGGCGTTGTTCGAGGTAGAGAGCTATCGGAGAGTTAGATTTCACGGCTATCCTTGAGCGTTCGATCTCACTTACGAGTGATTTTGATCATGTCAAACCAGCGAGCTGCATTCTCGTCACTACCGTCCATAGCCTTCAAAATGCCATCCGGTCCCGGAGCCGCCTTGGGGGGCAAGCTGCGCATCTTCAGCAACATGTGCAGAATGTCGGAGAAGCGATCGCCTTGACTGGCATAGTATGGAGGGCGCTTGTCCAGGGGCCACTACAATCGTGTTAGATACAAACGCAAGACCAGGGGCCAATGACTTACCCGCTGCGCAAAGTTCTCGTCATCCCAGGAACGGAATAGCCAGCAAGTTCGCTCAACGCAGTTCAGAAGCAAGAGCGCAACCAGGAAGGTCTCGAACCAGCCGCTCTGCTGGCGCTGAAGCAATCTACGTTCCAGGTCATTCATCACAGATTTGCTCAATTGAGAGGCCCGCTTTTCGGTCGCGGCGCGCAACTGGTTGCAAAGGAGTCCGTAGGACTCGGCGTTGGTAACCTCGTCGATGGGCATGCGGCCGTCATCAGACGGCTGTGCGAGGGAGTGCATCGAGGTGGGCGGGAGGGTTGGGTTGCAGTATGTTTTCCAGCGAAGCTCCGAGTCGACCAGAATGTACGTTGCAACCCACAACTCCAGGACCCGTTCCAACAAGACATCCTATATTCGTCAGACATCACGTCAAGTCGTAATGTGTCAATCTGATGCTTACCTTCTTCTGCTGACTCAACTCCGACGCGAGCATCAGAGTGGGCTTGATAATCTCAGAAGTCTCCCGCTCGTAGAAATAAGGCGCTGTCTTCTTGATGTACATTTCGATCTTTCCAGGAAGGTCGTCGGCATCGCTGTCGAGCAGGTAAAGTTCGTGCAGAGGTCCCTGAAATTGTGGATCGTCTCCGAGACCTTGAAGCTGAGGATCAAGCGTCGACATCGACGGCTTGTGGCCTTGAAGTCCACTGAAAGTGATGTAGACCATACTCTCTTCAAAGTGCGTGACCTCGATGCGGCCGGCATAGTGCTCGAATTTGACTTGATTCTTTATACCGCTGACATCGTGATAAGCGAGGGTAGCATGCAAGTCTAAGGGGTCGGTCAGATCAAACAACAGAACAGGTAGCTGGAAACGATTTGAAAAACTTACTTGCGTTGTAAAGTTCAAATTCCTCTGCAATACGAGTGCGAATGCATGGATGCTTCCAGAGACGCGCGCTCTCAACACTGGCGCAGGTAGTGCAAGGGCTGTCACCGGAGCACTAGTCGTTTGTCAGCCTAAGTTCAAAGCCTAAGAACTCATAATCAAGAGGAAAAAGACGTACCGGTTTCTTGAGCATGCGGCAGCGGATACAAGCTCCCCGTTTGCGCACTTCTTGCACCTCCCTGCGTCTCGCGGCGGAGAAGCGACCACGCACCTTGGGCTTAGTCGGCTTGGTCGCGTTCCCAAATTCATTGACAAAACCCTTGGCCTGAGAGTTTGGATTCATGGCAATAGGACGAGGGAAGGAGGCCGCACGCTGAGTTGCTGCGGTAAGAGTAGGGTCATGTTCCTGAAGGCTGTCGAAAAGAAGCTGCTCATGACTCGAAAGCTGCTGGTTCCACGGGGATGAGCCAAGCTTGGGCAGGCCATCAGTCATGAGAGCGTTCGGATCATGATCCATCGGGATGCCCTGAGGAACCATCTCACTAGCAGATGCGGCAATCATAGACAACTGCGATTGGCGAACATTGGAGGTTGGATCGGGGGTCAACGAAGGCTCCACCAGCGGTGGGGAAGCAGAGGAAGGGCGGTCATTCATCGAAGTGCTTGGGAGGGAAGGAATGGCCGTCGCAGCCGAGAGTTGGGGGGTTCCTGGACGATGATCTACGTTAGCGCGCGACACCGAAAAGGGAACGAGATTGACAAAGACCAAAGCGCGATCCATGGGCAAAAGCAAAAAAAGGAATCTTACCAGGCGGTTTGATGTCCTCCTCAACATGCTCCGGCTGAGTAGGATGACCCTGAAAACCTTCCGCCTCGAGCGCCGGGTCGACAACCACAGTCTTACCCCCAACAGTGACAGACTGAGCATATGCAGGGCCGCCCCGTTTGGTCTGGTCGGAGGCGCCGACCTGTCTCGAGGCTTCTGCCAGCACATTTAGGCCATCAAAATTTTGTCTCGTCGCGTATGGCAGGTCAACCGCTTTGCCTTTGCTCTGGCCCGCCAGGTTGGGGTCCTTGTTCTGATCGCCGTCGGCAAGGTCAGGGAGTTCGTGGAGTCGCAGCAGAACGCGTTGTCTGTCACGCAGCGGAATCGCTTGACACTTCTTAACCAAATGGTTGGTCAAGCTGTCGATGCGACCTTTGGGGAATTTCTCCCCGCAGGCTCTGCATGTGTGTTGGTAGCGATTACTGGCATCCTCGAGTTTTTGACCTCGAATGAAAAACTCGAGGATGAGTTGGTTTGGTTTGCGACCCATGGCGAGGGGCGTGTGTACTAGTGTGCGACCGGTCAGGATGACCTCGACAGAGGATGAGGAACAATGGGATCTGTAGTTTCAAACTGCAATTAAATAGCTAATTAGTATCCAAGATTCAATATCCATCACAAAGAATCACAAAAAACTGTGTGACAGCACAGGATCACTAACTGTTGTGACGCACAGGTGAGACCCTCAGACGAGGGGTGGAATCGATGGCAAAAAAAGATCCTCGCGACTGCAGCAACACAAGAGCCTGACCCGTCCTGTGGCAAAGACTACCAGCAGGAAGAGTCTATCAGGATGATGCTATCGTAGAACCAAAGGACTGAAGACTGATTGGATTGAGATTGAGAAGATGAGAAGAAGAGGAGGAGGAGTGGGATACAACAGCAATAATTCGCGAGGTAGCGGCAAAATGGCTTCTTCACAGGCGGTCTGGGGCCTGCCGCCTGGAAGCTTCACTGTGGCTACTGGGATGTGCTTCACCGCATGCAAGGCGGTGATGATGTCGGTGATGAGGTCGGTCAGTCTCTTTTAGGTATTATTCATTTCTGTCATGGACATGGATGTTTTCGACTTGGTCTTGGAAAGCATCTACGATGAAGGAGACTCTGTAGAGAAACCCTACCACGCAAAGTCTCGTCTTGAGTCTAAAAGATGGCCACTTGTCCTTGTACGGTTTTTTCGCCTCTGCTGTACCAGTACACAGTCCACATACCCCAAAATCACACAGTATCCAATGTCCAACTCACTACACAACAGTAGAGTTGCATATACATCTAGAGACCGCCTCTTGTCCTTGAGCTGACAGCAGGGCCAAACCCTGCATCGGACTCGACAGTAGTACGTAGTCGCCTATTCCTTGTCCTGTCGAGTCCGTAAGGAAAACAGCAGAAATTACCGGGTCGCTGCACAGTTGAAAGTCTGCCTTTATGCGAGCTGAATTCGGTCACCAAGGAAAGTTACCTTGGCCTGCGGACTTCTTGAATCTTGAGAAGTAAGGTAAAAAAAGGAAAAAAGCAAATAGTTCCTATTCAAGAGCTAGGTCTAAGTGACATAACATGCTGTCATCCAGTCATCAATCATCAATCATCAATCATCAATCATCAATCATTAATCGCAATCCCGCCTGATACGTCAGCATATGCGATGCTCGGGAGGTCGCCACGGGACCCTGAGGATCTCAAAGATTCGTCTCTCATCGCGTCCTTCAAGCAGTCGGCCTTCATTTAGCTTCCTCCGTTGCTCTCCACGTAGCACATCCGCATAAAGTCCTCGTTGGTTCAAGCGCATCCCCTTCTTGCTCGCCAGCAGTCTCATGCTCCGGTTGAATATGTCATTCCCCGTGAAATAAATCAGCGCGGCCCCTATTTCTGATCCAGGTACAAATAGAAGATCAATGCGGCGCCAGGTTTTGCTGCCGGGCAACACAGACACTCCATGCCATTTGGATCCGTCGCATCGGGAGGTGCTGGCGAGACTGACCTGGAGAAAGCCGTCTTGAAAGAGTTGAGGAACCACAATGTCCATCATTATCGTCCTGATCTGCTCAATAGTAGCATCGGCTTTCGTGATGAGCAGATCGATGTCACCTGAGTCGGACGCCCCACGCCGGTAAGAACCACTGATGATGACCTGCATCCCAGGGTCCGCCCTCTGGACCGCCTTTCGGACGATTTCTCCGTGGGCTTCGACTTCACGCCGCGGAATTCGCTGGGCAAAATCGTGGTAGTGTTCCACTCCAATCCGCTGGGATTTTGTCAATGATGCTTTGGTCTTGAGATCACCCAGCGACCTGTAGCCCTGAGCAATCCATCGAGATGCCTGGGATATACCAGCACCGTAGACACCCAAGAATTCCTGTAGTATGAGATCTTCGAGCGTATTGTTTGCGTTTTCCAAACGACGTAGCCGGTTGGTAAACACGATCTCCTCGATCTTGTCTGCTAAGCGCGGGCCTATGCCGGGGATAGCACGCGCCTGCGCTCTAGTGACGATTTTTTTCGGTTGTCTGCGAAGAGCAGCGATCGCTTTTCGATAGGCCAACGTACGCCACTGATCCGATGTCTTTGTATAGTAGTCCAGCATTTGCTGGAGGATTTCGATGGTCTTACTGTTCGGGTTGTCTGTCTTGGAATTTGAATCATGTTTTTGCATGCAAGCGAATTTCTGCTGCCAGGCCTCTACCATTTTGTCCTCGTTAGAGAGGTATCTTTCTTTCTTCCCAATTGATTCTGTATCGGAAGCGTCCGAGGCCTCCGTCTCATTCGCTTCGACGGAACCTTCCTCCAGAGGGTCCAAAGGCTGCATTTGGGTCAGCAATCATATTCATTGATAGCGTGTCGACAAACTCACCAAGTCTTTTGCGACTTTAGTTGCTTCAATCATGTCATCCAAGGCATCTCGCTCTCGGGAAGGGAGTTCTGGGACAGGCTGTTCTTGATGTGTTTCATCTGAGCGCGCTTCGACGGGCTGTTCAGAAGCGTGATCGACAACGCATTGGTCCCTCGAGTCTTGAGAGGGCGTAGGAGTGACTTGTTGCTTCCCACTTGGCTTCAAGGGCAAAGAAGCGGTCGAAGGTGTCTCATTTGCGGGGGTCGTCTCTTCGGCATCAAGGCCAGGTGCTCCATTGACGCGGAATCGAACAAGCGTTGTGCTTAGTACAGACTTGAATTTGATACACTCGGAAGGGTAACTTTCATCGAGCAAAGCAACATTGGGCTGCTAAAGTTAGAGAAAATATGGAATAGCTGCACAGCTCACAGCATACTCACCGGGAAAGCCTCGAGTTTGAGATGTTTAAGGACATCTTGGAACATCAAACCTTTGTCAACTATCACATGAGTGATATGAGCTTCCCATTTCTTTGCACAGATGGCACCGTACTCCTGAGCACGCTGAATCCGTAGGCGCCGAAGAGGCGAGACATCGTTGTTAGGAAAGAAGACTGGCGACACTGTTAGCACGAAAACAAAATACTGACTGCATACCGCCCAGTGACCCACAGAACACAAGATTCTTGAAGATCTGCTGCTCTTCAGGAATAGTCCTAGGGGCGATTACCCGTCGTCGTTTGGATCGGTTGTCGGCTTCTGAACTTCCTGTCAAGGCCCCAGTGGTGTTGGATCTTTTGACCCCAGGCTGCAAGCCATCACTACCGGGTACGAGCATCTTGCTATGGGTACTCGAGCCTGCGGTACTGGTCGAACTAGACTCAGGGGCTGAAGTCGCACGTAGCAGCTTGAGAGGTGGGGTATTGTTGCGACAATTGGAAGAGGTGGTCTTGTCACTATTTCTGGATCTTGTGATGAGATAAGACAGTTCGATATCGGCCTCATCCTCCGAGTCATCTGTCAAGCAATCCAACTGTTCCAGTGCCTTGAAAAAGGCATCTTTGTCCAGAGTCTTTTCCGCCATTCTCTGGCCTGGATGGTGGTTGTGTGCGCAAAACTTTGCAAGAGGTCTCGAGCCATGGATGAGTGATTAGCGTCGGCTGCCTAGACAGACAGCTTCGATATTGGAGAGTTTACTTGGTCTAAATCGATGTCGTGATGCTGACCATTAGAGTTACACGCGGCGAAGGCAGATACGCGTGTGACAAGCACGAAAGTGCCACCAAGTCACGTGACTCAGATATCAATTAAGTTACTCTCTTTGTCAAATAGCTGTTGGCGGTCCGGCGAGCTTGAGATTACCTTAGCCGGTGCAGTTCCAACTGATCTTTCACTTACAACTCATTCAAGCCAATTGGCCTCTATCAACATGTGGAAGTCATCAGTGCGTCTATCATCACTGGCAGACGCATCCCTATCACAAGGTGGCCGCTGCCTCAGCTGTCAACTCCGCAATGCCACAAGACTGCAGCCATCACTGCGCTACTACGCCACTAGCCAAAGCAAGAGCGGCGACGACCTGAAGCCTGCCGCAGCAAGCAAGCCGCCTGCAACCGAAAAGATTCAGTTTAAACAGAATGCCTCCCCGTCATCACCTCAGCCTGGCGATGCGGACTTTGTCCCTCCGGCCCTCGACCGTCCCATCGGCACAGTGATCCCTCCTCAAGAAGGACAAAATACCGGCTCCGACGAGCGATCACTGCAACAAAGACGGGACGATTTCGTCAATTACGATAAACACCTAGAGAGACGCAAGGAATTGTATGAAGCTCCGTCCACCGCTAATTGTCATGTATAGCGTACTAACAACGCCGCTATCAACAGAACAAGACAAGTCGCAAAACCGTACTTCAGAGAATGGTCCAACATGCGCTACCACGAGGGTAAAACCTTCAAGTCCAACCCCCGGTTGTTCAAACGAGACAAGGCCCTCTACTTCCCTAACATGTACGGTATCACTCTTGCTTCGCCGAAACAACCGCAAAACACCACCTCGATACTCCGCGGCAAAGTGTCCGTCGTCAATGTCTTCTCAAGCGTCTGGGCAGAGTCGCAGGTTGCGACTTTTACGGGCCCGAAGCAGAACCCCGGTCTATGGGAGGCGATGAAGAGCGGAAGCGAGCTTGTTCAGAAGGTCGATATCAACCTGGAAGAAAATGCGATGAAGGCTTGGCTCGTTCGTACTTTTATGTGGCGGATGCGGGCCAATCTGCCCAAGGAGCAGCACGAACGGTATTTCCTTGTGCGCAAAGGTCTCACGGATGGTCTGAAAGAAGCAATCGGAATGATGAACAGTAAGGTTGGTTATGTCTATCTGCTGGACGAGAACTGTCGCATCCGATGGGCGGGTAGCGGACCGGCAGAGAAAGGCGAGCTGGAGGGATTGAACAACGGTGTCCGGAAATTAATCCAGGAGAGAAGGATCAGTCTCGAGTCGGAGCTACCGGCTGAGGAATGGGCGGGAAGAAACCAAAGTGAATCCGCAAGTCTGAAGCCTAGAGTGATCATGCGGTGAGCCCTGGAGCTATAGCAGTCTGTCCCTGTATGTACATGTATAAATGTGAAATAGACAACCTGAAACGCCATGGCCATTGTGATTAGTGCTTGCATGCAGAAAAAGGGTACATGAAAACCCCCAAACGCCGTGCCATATCGATAAAGAATCAAGGCTGAGCAAGTAATTGTAACACAAAAAAATCGGCGGTATACGGGGCACCAGCACCTCACCGGAAGAAGAAAAGCATCAAGAAACAAAACCCGATAAAAGCTCCCAAGATGATCGCGTCACGTCTCCTCTTCGTACCAATCTTACCGATCAAAGCATTCATTCCGGGTACCTTATTGGCAGCGCCAACGATACGACGATTGATGCTGGCCAGCGTTTCACGTTGTAGCCCAAAACTCTCGTTGATCGCATACGCCTGGCTCAGAACGCCATCTATCATATTATGACTTTCGTCTATACGACCCCGCTCCTCGAGCATGTAGTCTGCCTCGGCAGCGGCGGGGTTTGAATTGCGGTAGGCATCAATGTCGGAGCGAACGTTCGACAAAAGATTGGCTCGGTCGCGGGACTCTGCGATTGCGGCGTTCAGGCGCTGCAGTTCGCGGCGATGATCGTGGAGGACTTCGCGATTCCGGGCAAGATTGCTCTGTTTCAGGGCGGATGCGGTGAGAGTGGCTTCGGAGTCGAGGAGACGGGAGAGCTGGGAGATGAGGGATTCACGCTGTGATGGGAAAGTATCAGCATAGATGCCCGCTGAGCCGGACTTTAGGAACCCCAGAGTACACACCTTTTCGAGAAGATCTTTCAGTTGCGATTCAACCCGTTGTTCTTCTTCTGAGGGTTTCGGAGGCAGCTTCGTCATCGATGCATACTGCGCGTAGGTGTGGAACAGACTCTCGGTCTAGAGACAATACAATCAACATTCAATCGCGACTAAAATGTTATTAATAAAGTATCTTCGGATTTGGTACCTGAGTCTCAAGCGAACGGGCTTGCTGCCGAAGCTGAGCCCATCCGGTTCCAGTGGAAGTTGCCATAGTCTGGTTCCGGGTCAGAAGCTCTGTATAGATTGATGGTGATAAACCGCGCCCAAAAATGAAAGCAATAACTCGTTGGATCACAGTACTAATTCAGCGACGGTCATCCGGCCGGCCAGGCAGTCATTAACACTTCCACCGAGACCAAGAACAATGCCATCATTCGACGATGATCCTCCCGCCTATCTGACAGCCGGTTGGGGGGTCCTCCGGGGGGCGGCGTCACCAGCGATCAGCCACAGTCACGTGCCCGCTTAGCCCAGCCGCAGCGTGACCGCACCAACACAGAAAAAAACCCTAGTCCCACAACGAACATCCCAAATTGACCCGGTCCATCTTCAATCCTCACTGTCGACAATACCCGTACGACACGACACGAAGCCGCCCACCATGGTATGTTGAATGCGCAATCTTTCGATTTGGGCCTTTTTTTTGAATTTGTTGGGGTCTGTTATGCTGACGAAACTTAGTCGACATCCAAGGTCAAGGCTGGTCAGCTCTGGGGAAAGAGCAAGGAAGACCTTTCCAAGCAGCTCGAGGAGTTGAAGACCGAGCTCTCCCAGCTCCGTGTCCAGAAGATCGCTGCCGGTGCCTCTTCAAAGACTCAGAGAATGTGCGTTTGAACTCGAAACCCTTCCTTTTGCATCTGCAATTCTACCTCGAAAAAATAAAAAAAAAGTCCCCCCAAATGTGGCATGGGAATTTATCGGAAGAACAACGGAAACGACACACTGGGAAAAACCGGCGCCTACGAATATCGCAAATTGCACAATATATATCAGAAACGACATTTGGGGACAGGAATACTGATTTGCTGCCGTTCTACAGCCACGACGTTCGCAAGTCGATCGCTCGCGTTCTCACCGTCATCAACGCCAACCAGCGCGCCCAGCTCCGTCTGTTCTACAAGAACAAGAAGTACACTCCTCTTGACCTCAGACCCCGCCTCACCCGTGCCCTCCGCCGCAGACTCACCAAGCACGAGGCTACCCTCAAGACGGAGAAGCAGCGCAAGAAGGAGATCCACTTCCCCCAGCGGAAGTACGCCGTCAAGGTATGACCATCGCGATGCGCCTCCTGCCTCGTCCCTATGCGAACACAAAAAATCCCGCAATTGTGCGGCGTATTCAATTCAAGACAGTGGAGTCACTAACGGGGCGATTTCCACAGGCCTAAATGAAGACCAACGTCGTTTCTGGATCTGAAATGGAGTTACGGGAAGGTCGTTATAAAAGATGACGAGTTCGACCTAGAGACCTTGCGTTCGTGCGGGGGCTTCGGGGTTTCAGCAAAAATCTTTTAAAAGGTTGATTTTGTATCTTAGAGATATGAGATGCAGGTCAATAATACATGAAGGCTTTACTTGACATGACGTGACAATTGCGATTTTTGCTACTTTGAATATGCCTTGACGGATTTATGGTCTTCGATCTGGCCCGGCCAACCCGTTTCCTCAGGGTATCGTTGGAGGCATTGAGAGGCCCAGCTCGGTTCGATCCAAGGTCTAGACATACTTAGAATTTCAACACTAGATGTTTTCTAACAACTACCTTTGGCATTGGCACCCTGCGCTAATCCGACATGATCCCCGAACATGTTCATTAAACTCCATCGTATATAATCTACTAACTCGAACCAGCCAATCCAGCGGCCACGAGTGCGGGAGTACGTCCCGCCGCCTGACTCACCGGCGCACCCGAAGACTGCGCGGAGCTAAAGACACTCGGCTCCAGAGTCCACATGCCCCCGCAGACGCAAGCTCTCAACAAACCCAGCTTCGCAATCATGCGGAAGGAGAGCAGCGACCGCGGGGGGTGCGTGTCGCTGGAGATCTCGCAGCAGCGGACGCACCGCCGTCGACGCTGCTGCACCTGCGTGCTGGATTTCCCGCTCTGATTTGCGTTTGCGCTTGCGCTAGCCTCCGGAAGAGCAGATGCAGACGCAGCTGCGATAGCCCTACAGGGAATCTTCTTGATGATATCCACGTCCCGGTTCCTCCGGTACATCTCGGTGCGGCGGTCGTTGGACAGCCCCAGCCAGCTGTAGTCACCCATGTAGATCGAGATGCGGTCGATCTCCGCTTTGAGCGCGGGGACCGTCTGTCGGAGGATGGTGGCCACCGCCGACACCAGCACGGGAGGCACACGGGCGTTCACCAGGAGTTCCTTCTCGGGGCCTGGGCGTTCGGCATCGCCAAACCCGGCGCCGTGATAGGCATGGCGCACGGCCGAGTCCACGCCAGCGAGGAACTTCTCGTATGCGTCGATACGAATAGGCGCGGATTCTAGCGTTTGGTAGATCTCCGCGTAGTAGACGCGGGCATCTCCGCTTAGAGGCGCTGCGGTCGCGTAGCCTGCGTAGATCCCGCGCAAGCCCCGGCAGATAAACCGCAGGAATGCACGCGACATGCTTGAAAGGAGGATGATGAGAGGAAGGGAGTTTGTGGATTTTACTGCCGGAAATGGAGGTTAGCAAATTAGCAAACATACGACGGATTGATTTGGTATGTAGAGGCGGAGGCACCACGAACACTTCTGTGTTAATGCTTCCTGGTCGGCGGATAGGCTTTCAAAGTCATCTGCGAGATCGAAAAGCTCGTCAAGCACATAGAATGAAAAATCAAGGGCCCATTTGGTGTTTCCAAGCACCATACGCAAAACATCTATGCAGACAGAGTACGGTTAGCACCAGCTTCGTAATCAATCCATCGAAAATGATCTTTACCAGGGTCATGCGGCTCTGTGGCACCGCCTTTGTTGTACTGGAAGAAGAACGCATATAGCACCGAAGCATGGCGAAGCTGGAGGATGGCCCATGGTATGGCGGATGCGAAGTTCCGCGGCGTGTATTTGTTCTTGAACCCCAGAGCAGCTTGAATACTTAGACAACGGGGAATATAGGGATGATTCATAAGCTTATCCTGCTCTACTGTAAAGTTGCAGTTAATAGGCAAGGCGCGGTATGCTTCGTTGATGAAGGTGGCCTGTGCCTCTGTAGATTTGTTAGCGGAAAGGATCACTTGCAAAAAAAATCGAAGGATGTGAGCTAACCGGGTGACAGTTGTCGTAGAAGAATCAACAGTATGTCGTCTGTATTCACGTCGCTTCCACAACCACGACAATAGGCTAGAGTCAGCGCTGCAATAGCAGCCGAATATTTGTCTAGCGTGGTATCAGCAAATGCGCCAATTCATGACCTTACAGTCAAGGTACGTACTCTCATCATGAAGTCCACCCTCAGACCCGTAAGAGTGCTCCATGAGCCTTAGGTGAGTTTGTCCCTCTCCATCAAGCGTCACAGCAGCGCAAGCGTTCGGTGAGAAGCTGATATGAAGACCTGCTGCAAATCCATGAATCAGCGTGGTCGAGGCGATGGGGCCGAAATATTACTGACCTGAAGGCTCTGGGGGGTAGTGAAAGCCCGCCTGAGCCAAGCTGGTCACAGTGTTTGCGTCGTCGACTCCGTTAAACACAGCCATGGTCTTGGGATCATAGAAGACCACAGAGCCGTCGTCATAGGTGATAGCGAGCACATTGCCATACTCGATCTGGTCTATCGAAATGGCGTACTTGTCGGAATACACATCATCCAACCGACGCAGCTCCAATTTCGGCTACCTCGATTGTTAATAGCGATACAAGTGATCTTCGCCGTCAAAGTGCTCACCTTGATCTGGGCATTGTTTTTCTTCGAAGCGACTTCATCAAATTTCGGGTGAAGAGTCAAGGGGCCGGTGTCCAATTGCCACCGTACAATGACGCTTGCTGGACCTTGTTGCTGAGGATGATCCTGCGTGACGTGAAGAGGAGTTGAATAGACGGCAACGACCCAGGGATTTGCCGTGGAGCCCGCTGGGTTATCGAGGGCTGGAAGCACAATATCCAAGCCGGTAAGACAGTAAAGAGAGTTGGTAAATGAGGGCAAGCCCTGTGCATTATCTCCCGCATTGCGGTTCGTGCCCGGCACGTCGCACTGAGATTCGACTTTGCAATGGAGGAAGCGGAAGGAAGGGACAGGCCAAGGGGCTGGCGGTTTTTGCTGGCCAGGGTCGTATTGAGTCGGGGTCCAGGCGATGTGAACGCGATAAAGACAGATTTTCTGGCATGCTGAGTGCGTGGCTACGAGAATGCCGCCCTGGGTAGATACCAACGCCGCGTGGGTCAGCAGTCGGTCTGAGTAGCCTGTATTTTTGAGTTCTGCGGAGATTTCCGCCCATCTGCTGTCGGGATTCTGATACAACAGTCGAATGAGGCCAGACCTGGTCACACAAACCAGACCTGCCTTGTTGACTGGATGGAAAGGGCCAATTGGACGACGTCGAAATGGCGAGTAGGCCCAGCGTCCCTGCACCTTTGCCGCTTGGTAGAAGGAATGCACCTGTATCGACAGTGAGCAAAGGGTGTAGGAAGGTCCCGAGATCGACGAACACGCACCGTGCGTTGGGTGTTCAACCACATCATACCCACTATTTGAGCACCGTCATCATCAGGATCAAAAGCTGCTTGACGATGGCCAGCAATACTGTTGAGCGCAATTGAAATTGAGTAGATGGATACCCGTCCAGAAGAATCTGCCACCGCCAGTTCGGCCCCCGGCTCATTCCAGCACAGATGAACCAAGGTGTGTCCTCCATGAGCATCGGTGACTGGCAGCAGGGGGGTCTCTTCACTGAGGACCCATTTTCCATCTGAGGGCCGACACTGGAGATGACGGACATTGACTCTCAGTCCGTCCTGAGAGATGTATGCAATACATCCAAGTTTTGACCATGCAATCTTCCTGATGTAGCGTTAGATGCGGCACCATGCGTGTAGTCTCGCAAGCTTGAATCTTTGATACTTACTGACAACACCCTATCAGTCTCATTTCATCTAAGCGTTGTGCGAGACCTCTAGGGGAGGTAGTAGAAGGGGACAAACCCAGCTCGAGGGAGCCCGGCTCTCCAAACAAATCGTCAACATTGATGCCGTCTTCCATGATCAAGGGCATTCTGAACAAATATTTTGTCTTGATTTATGACAGTATCGATGACGAGGTACAGTTTCAGAGAAGTGCCAGCACCATCATTGTCCTCCAGGCATTAGAAGCGATGGCCTGCGAGACCGGAGAGCCCGTTCCAGCGTGCGATATCCAGGCGATTGGACGCACGAAACGACCAAGATTCTACCTAGTCAGGAAAAAATCAATAGTGGCATATCAATGAGTTTTTCGCCATTATGATGATTTTCACCCTATCGTTATGCCTTTGTTTCACGCTTCTTCTATCAGTAGCATCATCACAGTTCGTTCTCCATATTGGTGCAATCAAGCTGATTAGTCAATTGTCATGTGATGTCATGTGGGCTAATCGCCCAGCCAACCGCTCACCAGCCATGATTGGCGCTTGCGACTCTATATCAAGGGTAACAACAAAAACCCTTCTTACCGTCGGCGAGCTCATTATTGAAAGAAGCATCCTCGAGCATTGATATACACATTCCAAGTGATGGGCTGTGTGTATTCATGTTGATAGTGCTCATTCAAATACGCTAAACACAACATCTCCTACGATATGAAGCCTAAACCGCGATCAGGGTGCAATCACTATAGCGACTGGTTTTCACTACCAATGGGTACTACTAGGAGAACCTAGGACATATGAATACCTACAACATAACGATACTCAACGGAAAGAAAATCGTAAGAGTGCTAGGGACATACTATGCGTGTCCATCGCTGCCCTGCGGAGTGGTTTGCGATGATCAAAGAGAGAAGGTCAACTGCACCACCTTATAAGAGGGTGTCTACAATGCTGGGGCTTGGTGGGTAGTCAGTCTACAGTCACGGATTGAAGCATTAGAAATTCTTGAGTATTCTCGCAATCAAAAGATACAAAGTTCTGTGTGTATGTACCTAAGTATGTAGCCTTCGAAGCTGACCTGATGGTCTTGAGCGCTCCAGAGTGTGGCCCCAGGCATCTTATAAGGTTGACCAATGACAATGCAGCAATCAAGGACGGGAATAATGGCCCTAAAACTCTTCAACAATAACAATAATGCATCAATATCACAATAATCATGGTATGAGATATAGCTACGTCCTTAAGTGAATTAGAATTCAGCAGTGGATGAATGAGACGGCTCTTGAGTCATACTCTCTAAGGTAGCAAGCTTTCAGATGCATCTATTGCCATCATCCAGAGCAGTAGATATCCATCGCTCAGACTAATCCCTATCTACCTTAGCTACAAGAAGACCCCGTCCCTTTCTCCTGCCAAAGAACCCTCCTAAGAAGAAGATAATGACGATCTCCCATCCGTCTGATGATACTGTATATATTGCTACTACCTTACCTTCAAGGCGCCAACAGCCAACATTCCTCCTGACATACCACCTGTTGCTCTTCGACACTTGTCAACCCTAACGGCGAGTTTAAAGTAGTCTTGGTCCACGATTTCTTTCCACCACGTCTGATCTCACCGCGTCTGATCCATTTGACTAAATATCGGCGGTGCTTCCTCCCGTCGTCTCTCTCCGTGGGTCAGTCAAAATAAACACAAACATCGGCACCAAGCGAGAGGACAGACTCTGCTCAAGAACAACTGGAATAATCTTTCTTCCACAACAACCACTCCTCCTATCTATCTATGGCTTAGGTTGTGGTCATTCACCATCCCATCCCCTGCTTCATCATTTCTTGCCTACTACGTGCTACTTCCTGTTCATATTAATCTCTCAGCCTCCTCTTCTCTCCTGAATTTCCCTCCGTCAATTACTCTTACTCCCCAGCCAAAAGCTGGTTCGAGTCTCTTTGAGGCGAGATTCTGATTTTTCTCCGGATTGCTTTACCTCAATTACGTGTTCCACCTTTCCCATGATCGTATCTCAGGGCAACTTCTAGCTTTTCCCCGTGGAAAGCTCCTCTTTCTCCCTATCACCCTTTCCCCCCCTCTCTCTCTGTGTGTGTTTTCCTCAAGAAATACGCGATCATCACAGCTCTTTATGGCGCAGCTTCCGCCCTCTTCAACCACCACCGCTTCCTCCTTGACCACCTCATCATCCATCTCTTCCTCTCAAACCCCTACAATTTTAGAAGAGATGTGGAATTCTATACTCATGGATGATTCTTCCGACCTTTCAGAGCTGAGCTCTCCGCCAGCATCTCCTCAACTCCCTCCGAGCTTCATTCCCTCGCCGCCTCCGTCTCAAGACGCGGGCGAGTCGTCTAGCGCCGCACGCGGCCAAGACGGCCTCTCCCCCGCCAGAAAGAAGCGTCGCGTAGCCGTCCCAAAGGAGCGCACCACGCAACGTCTCGATCTGTCCGGGGCTGCAGGGCTCAGTTTTGGCGAACAGCAGGCGCAGGTTGATTTACTAGTTAAAACTCTCCGTCGTCATCGCAAGATTGTCGTCATCGCGGGTGCTGGTATCTCCACGTCTGCAGGCAGTATGCAATTCCTTCAGCCTCATGGTGGATGAGAGAATAATCACACGCTAATTGGCTGATCTACGGTTATAGTTCCCGACTTTCGCTCTACTGATGGCCTCTTCAAAACTCTCCAGAAGAAACACAACCTCAAAGCTTCCGGCAAGCTTCTGTTCGACGCTGCCGTCTACCAGGATGAGACCTTGACCGCCTCCTTTCAGGATATGGTGCGGTCGCTGTCGGAAGAGGCGGCCAAGACCCGCCCGACCGCGTTCCACCACATGCTCGCTCGTCTGGCACGGGAGAACCGGCTCACACGACTGTACACTCAGAATATCGATGGCATTGAAACATCAATGCCACCTCTGGCAACCCAAATACCTTTGAACGTAAAGGCACCCTGGCCGCGCACGATCCAATTGCACGGAAGCCTCGACAAAATGGTTTGCCAAAAGTGCCGACATCTTCGCGATTTCGACCGGGAAATGTTCAACAGGCCTGACGCTCCTGAATGCCCCGAGTGCTCGAAGAATAACCAATTCCGCATCGAGACTGGACAGCGGAGTCATGGAATTGGCAAGATGCGACCGCGGATTGTGCTATACAATGAGCACAACCCGGACGAGGAGGCGATCACCTCAGTCATGAACGCAGATATACGGTCCCGACCGGACGCACTGATCGTGGTTGGCACCAGTCTGAAAATCCCCGGCGTACGTCGCCTGGTGAAGAGCCTCTGTTCCGTGATCCGCTCGCGTCGCAACGGCGTCACCATGTGGATCAACAACGAGCCGCCTGCCGGCAAGGAATTCGAAGACTGCTGGGATCTGATGGTCAAGGGCGACTGCGAAGAAGTTGCGCGGCTCGCCGGTCTGAAACGGTGGGACGACGATTCCGAGGAGGTCTTTGACGAGTGCAACTCCTCCGAAGTCGAGCGGGTGAAGAAGGAACAAGGTGCCGTATCCATTGTCATCCGAACGCCGAAGAAGAAGCAGAAGACGCAGACAGGATTTCTTACGCCTTCCTCTAGCCACGACGAGGAGTCAGCAGAACTGCGACACAAGCAGCCATCGAACGGTGGCTCTCTCAACAATCCTGCCAGCCGGGGACGGAGTCTCAAAGATGTGCTCAACAAGGCCAAAACCGGCGAACCCAAGAAAGCCGCGCCGAAAAAGAGTGTGCCCAAGAAGCGAGGCAAGAAAGCCGAGCCGGCGCACAATGCGAAGATCACCGCCTTCAGCAAAGTCACCAAAACCGCTAGGGCTGCGACTGGCGATGCTGGCAAATCCGTCAAACTGGAGAAGGATGATACGAAACCGATGCATCCGCTTCCGCCTGGTGCGGCGCGCAATAACGGGCCTCTATTCCCTCACCTGGTCGGTAAAGGGAACACTTCTCCGTGCGGTGAACTCTGGAGCAACCCTGACACGATTTCTCCCAAATCGGTTCCGAAGGGAATGAAAAATCTGCTCAATCCTCCAAGTCCGTGATGTTTCCGATTCGCGTTTGACGTTTCTGTACTATTACTATTCTTTTTTCAGCTGTGAGGACGATCGGTTCGACCGATCCTCACCTGATATTGTTCGCGGATACCATTGATAGACTATGTTGCATATTTGGCGTTGGGTATGGGGATGACTTTGATTTCAATGCATCAGGTCTGACTTTGAAAGCTGAATAGCCGATGTATGGTCATGCGGCTGGATTGTTCTGTATTTCTCGCTGTACACTCTACGGAATCATGACACTTACTGGACGCATGCGATGGTGCGGTTGCTTTGAACACCGGCGTTGGTGGTATGGGTTGGTGACCATGATCTTTTTCGCCTTGCTTTTATTCACTTGACAGCTCTGATGAGCTACTTGAATCAATAATACGTGTCAACGACATGCGTTCCATCCAACAAACAATCTCTGCATATATGGCGCTCATCAAATCAGTATTCATTGCGTAGACTCTGGCGTCTCCGTCTGGAGCAAAGACATTCCCCAATGCTGTATCTATCCCAAACCCAGCCCACTCTGTAGCTGCGTCCGAGGCCCCGACTCGTCTTCGCTATCTGTCTCATCCCCGGCAGCATCGGGATCCATCGTCCGCCTCGGTCGAGAATCGCGATCCAGATCTTCCACTCGATCAATGTCATCCTCTTCTTGTGTCTCATCTTCATCCTCCTCGTCCTCGTCCTCGTCCTCATCCTCCTCATCTTCATCAACTTCCTCGTCATTCTCCAACCCCTGCTCCTGTTCCTCCTGGGTATCATCGTCATCTTCCTCCTCCTCATCCCCCGGCGGAGCAAGAGACGACCCCACCCCCTCAACCCGCTTCACCCTCTTCGCCTCGCGCACTGTGCTCTCCTCGTCATCCTCACCCCCAGCCTTTCCAGCCTGCCGCACCGCCCCCTCAGCCCCAGCGTCAGCACTAACCCCAGTCCCACTCTTCCTCGCCTTCCGCTTCCCAGCCTTCATCTCCGTAAACGCCTCCAACTCCTTCTCAAGTCTAGGCTGGAACGCATCGAACTCCAACTCGGACAACGCGGCGAAGACATCCGCAGGGGCAATCGTCCGTTTGAGGGTCGCCTCGTTCGCGCTACCACTTCCAGTCAGCATATCACCCCCATCACCAGCCCCAGCCGCCCCAACCCTTGCCGCTTGAGCAAGTGAAGAAGTAAATAAAAAGAAAAGAAAAACGTACTGCGAAGCAAGATACGACACAAACACCGTCGCAGCCTTCTGGATCGCTAGCACCGCATCCTTCTGTATGGCTGTGTTGGGCGGGAGGACGGACTTTGCCAGCCGGAGGGTGAGGGACCGCGGGAGGAGGTAGTCCTGGCATGCACCCATCAATCATCAGTTTTTTGTAGATTTAGCAAAGAAAGCGGGGGGGCTGGGTTACCTCTATGCTCACGCCCTCGGCGCGAGCTTTGAGCTGCTGCTCTGTTGCTTGGACGTTCTGTACCGGGGAGGTCTGCGGCTGCGGCGAGGGGCCGTCTGTGTCGGCGGGGGCGTCGGAGGTGGATTTCCGGGTGGGCATTTTTTGTTCGCGTGCTATTTATCAGAGCATCGATGGTTCTGGGGGGTATGCTTGCTGGCTGTGATGGTGTGGTGGGTATGCTGTGGTTGAGTGTGGTGATGACGCGAAAAGTCCGCGGACGCGAGGGTTGGCGCGTGGCGAGCCTTATCTGACCGTTGGGATAGTATGTAGCGTATCATACGACGAAGGTGCGGGCACTCGATGGTGGATATGCTTTGACCGGGTTTAGAGTATTTACAGGCGAGTATTATGTTTATAGATTTTGGGGGGGATTAGAGTCGGGAGACTAACTAGGTAGGTGTGATTACAGTGCAATTGTAGATATATTTTTGCGGAATCCATCACCGCATACTTGAAGTTCTTAACCAACCATGTTCATAAAGCCACCCCTCACGTCAAATTGAACCTTGGAGTCAAGCTAGGAAATCTACCAGCCCTCCCAGTAGAAGGTCATGAACTAGGAGAGCATGAGCGGCGAGGAGGCAATGCGCAGGAGGGCGTTTATGTGAGTTGGGGAGGAGGTTACTAAGGATGAGCTGGATGCTCTGAGATAGGATGAAGACGGCGCAAGATGATTATGTAGAGGCTAGGTCTAGCAGAGTAGTACATGTGCGAGGAGGTTAGTTGGGCGGTGGGTTGTTCTTTTACACATATGGCCATTGCTTGAGGTGAATAGGTCGGAGGCGTGATGTGATCATCATCACCGTGGTAGAATCCCAGATTGATATTGTTATCTATCTAACGTACTGTCCAAAGGAAGACTCAAGAACCGGGACAACGCCTTTTTTGGTATCCATAAATGAACTGAAAAAAAGAATGAAACGTATCTCGTAGTGCCGTCTACTCCGCCATCTCCTCGTCGTCGCCCTCGCCATTGCCCCAGAGTCCCTCGATCTTGAACTCCGCGGCCCACTCGGTGACAATCTGTTTCGTGTCGACACCCGACTCGACAGGTGCAGTCGAGCCACCCTGGGCAGTCGTCACGACGGAAGGCAGGACGGGGGCGGTGGCCCAACCCTGGATGCGTCCGTCTCTCCAGTCGTTGATCACGGTCATCGCGGCGCTCTCAAGATTTGGCACACCGCCCTTGCCGAGACGACCGCGTTTGCGAGCGACCTGGATCAAGAAGTCGGTGGTCTGATCGTTACCCGACGGGAAGAGCGGCGGGATGTTGTAGAGTTGGAGCATCTTCGACATGAGCTGCTCGGATGACGACAAACGTCTCAGGAGCAGACTGACGGCGGGGATGGGGTCCTCAATCTGCTTGGGAGGGATGGCATTGAGCAACACCAGGCGGGCGTGCTCGTCCTTCTTGTTCTTGCTCTTCTTCTTATCGCCGGTGTTGGGGAAGACGATACCGGGCGAATCAATGAGTTTGATCTTGCTGTCCAGCTTCACCTGTCTCAGACTGGTGGTCACACCGGCCTCGGCGCCAGTGGGGCATGCGTTGCTCGATCCCTTGTTGAGACGAGCAGACAGAGCGTTGATGACGGAGGACTTTCCCACGTTGGGGTAACCGATGATGCCGACCGAGATCGACCGCTTCAGCTGCTTGTTGGCGGCATATGACTTGAGGGCGCGGAAGAGCGTCTCCGAGGTGCCCTTGACGGTCAGCTGCTTGTGGTCGAAGCTGTGCGCGTTGGCCGAGCCATTGGACGCCTTGAGCGGCAGCGTGGGGAAGGATCGTCGCAAGTGCACCAGCCAGCCCTTAAGCACAGCAGGGGGGACCAGATCGATCTTGTTAAGAATCAAGATCAGTCTCTTGGAGCCTCTATCTGCAGCCATCACCTCACGCTCGACCTCCTTCGACCGGGTGCCTTCCGGATCACGAGCATCAAGCACATACAAGATCACATCCGCAGCCTCCACGACCTGCTTGAACACCTTGTCGAACGCCCGCCGTGAGCTTTCCTTCGAGGTGGGTTGTGAGACAAGCTCGGGGACATTGTCGCCCAGTGTAGCGCCGCCTTCTTCCTCGTCTTCGTCCATGCCGTCCACATCATCATCGTCGTCGTCGTCGTCATCGTCCATTTCGTCATCGTCATCGTCATCCTCCTCATCACCGTGTTCGTCCTCATACTCGGCGGCCCGCGCACGGGCAGAGGCAAGCAGAGCAGCCATGGGATTCGACGAGTCAAGATCATCCTCATCCATATCCTCATCAATGTCATCATCATCGAGCATAGCGTTGGGGCCAGCCTCTCCAGACTGTGACTGCTGTTTCTCGGCCATCCGTCGAGCACGTGCTTCCTCCTTGAGACGCTGTTGCTCCTCTGCCCTCAATCTCTTCTTTTCCTCAATCTCATGAAGAATCTTGTCCTTGAATGGGAACAGATTGGGGATACCGGGATCCTTCTTGACCTTGGAGCGCCATTCGGGGTTCTACCGAGAGAGACATTAGCACCTTTTGTCGAACTTCGCAGACCATGGGAATCAAAATTACCTGCTTTGCAAGCTTTCTCGCCTTCCGTTGCTTCGCCGCCGAAGCTTTCTCAATTTTGTGTCGTAGGCGGACGGGCTTCCGCTTCGAATTCTTGCCTGTACTCGACAGTCAGCGACCATATTCATTGATTACCTCAATGAAGTCATACCAAAATTGTTCTTGACCATCTTGACGAACTACAGACACAGCCCGTCTAAAAATGCACTCCAGCAAAGAGGAAGACAAAAGTTCTCCAGATAAGCGGCCCAGATCCTCATCAGATATTTTTTGCAAATTGGGCCGGCGCCAAGATTTCACCACGCTAAGATAACCGGACTATCACTTGTGCCGATCTCCAGTCCGCGGCGCTGGAAACATTTAGGACGGCGGGGTTTATGGAGCAGATATACTCCGTACTACAGTTGAATAGATTGTTTTCTTCAAATTAACCTTCTCGACGTTTGTTGTGTTGTTATAGTCGTTCATTACGGATTGGACAGTCGCTTACGGTTGAAGCATTGTGAGCACCATCCGATCTAGATCCAAGTATCACTTTCTCTCGACTATTATCTACCAACTCTCGGTCTCAGCCCATCATGACCCGTACTGAAGGCTCATTTTCTGCCCCTCCACAAGTGCACACTTTCGATGGGCTCTTGTCCGATTTCGATGGAACAATAGTCGACTCGACAGAAGGTTAGTACTCCTCGGTTCACACCGCGGTATCTCTCTAACGACATATCCTGCGACAGCGATCGTCAAGCACTGGCACCTGTAAGTCAGCAAATACATGACTACCTACAAACCCTGTATCTAAGTACGGTCGCAGCATTGGCGCTGAGCTAGGCGTGGACCCCAAGGTCATCCTCTCAACATCCCACGGCCGAAGAAGCATCGATACCATCCAGCTGTACGACCCCTCCAAGGCCAACTGGGAATGTAAGTACTCGCTAGACGATATCTATCGACCCGACACCCAAGCTGACAGCACGCCCACAACAGACGTCAGCTACATCGAGGGCCGCATCCCCAAAGAATATGGTTCCGACGCCGTCGAGATCCCCGGCGCCAGATCCCTCCTCGACGCGCTGGACGAGTCCGGTGCGCGCTGGGGCGTCGTGACGTCCGGCACCCGGGCTCTCGTCGACGGCTGGCTGGGCGTCCTCAACCTCACACATCCCAAGGTGCTGGTTGTCGCGGAGGACGTCGAGCTGGGCAAGCCCGATCCCCGGTGCTACCTGCTTGGCCGGTCCCGGCTGGGCCTGGAGCACTCCTCGTCCCTGGTGGTGCTGGAAGATGCGCCATCGGGGATCCGGGCGGGCAAGGCCGCTGGCTTCAAGGTGATTGCGCTGACGACGACCCACACGCTCGAGCAGTTGCGGGAGGCCGGGGCGGATTGGATTGTGCAGGACCTGAGGAGCATTTCTGTCAAGGGGGTTGAGGATGGGAAGCTTCAGCTGGAAATCAGGAATGCGTTCCAATAAAGGGAGAACAGGAGGGGGCAGACCTCACTTGCAGTCCAATAGAGGGGGTCAATGGTCTGGTCTTATTGAGTGCATGGATTGTCAATCTTTGTCAGCTTGTATATAGAATGGTTTACAGAGTAGATATTGTAGATAGATAGTACGGTACTTACATACATACACCTGGAGGAAAATTTCTTTGCTGCCAGCTTGATGTGCCTGGCTAATATGACAGGTATGTACTTTTGTATGCAGGTATGATGTAAAAGTCCATGCCTTGCATCGCACTAACCAGAGAATGTTGTGCCATTTGCGAATTGCATCGCGCCATTGGGAAAAAAGCCCCAGTGACCATCACCATCCTTGATGAACGGCTCTAGTGAAGCCAGACCATTTGAACCTTGAAACTCTGCCCTCGGGATCCATCCACCGAGTATCTAGCCCTACGGGACCGAGTTTGGATCATTTTACACCGTGCGTAGCCTATTGACAGTTGGCCTAGAAACGAGATCGAAAATCCGGTAGAAAAGAGCCTTGAACCCCTTCCTAACGCTCTGATGAGCTGGAGGCCCACCGCAAGCCCACCAACTCGCACCCTGGCGGTGAAGACCTTGCGTTATGGAGTCGTCGGACAATTCTCAACGATCAAGTACAGTAGTATTGCTGATGGCGTCGTCCTGCTCACAGTAATGAGCTTCACCGGTGCTGAGATGGACACTCACCGAAATGGCGGACTCTTCACCGCTCCACGACCACGCCCTCGGTCTGATATGTCTCAAGTGGCGGACGAAGATCGCGCAATTCCAAAGGATAACTAGAACAGACAACGCTAGCGTCTAGACGACAAAGTCATGGAGCTGGAGCTCTGCCAGAGTAAGCTTGCAGCTATGTACCGCATTCATCGGCATGCTCACCGACATGCTCGAGCACTGGGAGGAGCTCATGGAGGTGGCGGGACGGGCTGCGAGCGACAGAGCTCATTACTGCATGATTTCGGCATGCAGATAGATCATAATCCGAGTCAGATCCCGAATCTAGGCTTGTCTGTGGCGTTGTGCAGTCCGTCACAAGCAGAACAGGCAGACGCCAAGGGCTTCTTTTGCCATTCGAAAGAGTTTCCACACGAGCGTGGTGTCGTGAAGGGGGGCGATAGACTTGTGGATAGAAGGAGGCAATCGAGTTCTGGAAGCTGGAGGGTCAATCGGTGTTGGTCGATCCAGAGTCAGAGGAAATCTGATCTGTATCATTTCAGCGCTCTGACCCGTTTTTCGCGGCGGGAGATCGAAAAGTGGCGCTTTCACTCAGAGCTGAGTCTGATATGACATGCAAGGGATGGGAACGTCTTTCCAGGATTAGATTGTGGAAATCTTTTGCTTCCACCTTCCTAGATCGTTCTGATTACGATTGTATCATACTGAGACAGCTTGGGGTTCGAACAACGGGCAGCAGCGGGAGTCGCGTAACAGCAGGATGAATTGAGTTTTAACTCACAGCTACTGAACGAGTGAGTTGTAGGTAGAAGTGTTCGTTGCTGAGCAGCACAATTCTGCGTTGTCTGTTCGTCAAGCTGCTTCCTGTATGGCAGCAATGCTCAACAGGAGCTTTGTAGAAGTTTCAAGCATCTGTTGATACTGTTTGGGAACAGGAATAAGCGGAGATACCGTCAGTAGCTGTCCCCTTGACAGAAGGCATCGGTCTTTTTTGGCCATCACAAGCCGTACTATTGTGTCGAATGACAAATTCCAGTCGATGAGGTCCTTGGGCTAGAACCGAACAAGATCCCAAGGGCGGCTGACACCGAGGCACCGCCACAGTGTAATTTGGACTGTTTTGTGGCGCTGCAAGTCAGTGCTGAAACTGAAAGAATAATGATCAACGGAGTGACCGAATAGGACTAGTCGAGTACTTTGGTGGCTGATACAGGACCTTTACCTCAGGTACCTCCGTATGTACCTTGGTATCGTTAACTTTTAAGAAAGCTGGCGCATTATCATCGTAATTACGACCAAAACTGGGATCGCCGTGGTTGACGGTACGGAGGAAGTGATCGGGTCACTGGCTTAAGGGGGTGGAGTCTTTAGAAAAGGCGATGAACTTCTGTGGACTGTGAGTGTGTGAGTCTGTGACTTACACTTTAGACCCAGGAGATCCCCCAGTGCCAAGTCAACCTTATACCAGGACAGGCATATGATACTATGATGCGATTGTTGATCATCTGGAGTTCACTGACCCTCAGCCCTGCTCATACCGGTTCGGTCCTAGTCATCGATGAGGATCTAGGAGACTTTGCGGGTTGAACTTCGAGGAAAGCCTCACCTTGTTGGACCGTGAGCAACCGCTGATCACCTTGTGAGTGACTCGGAAATTTTTCTCCTCCCTTGTCGAGTGGTGCCAGTCAGCTACCGTTAAGGTCTCAATAATTGAGATCCTTCCTTCGGGTGACAACGGCTTCCTTCAGGCCCAATCAAGGCCTGAGGGATGTTCTTGAAGGCAGTCTGTGTGATTGCATCAACTCGCCTGCGGATCGAACGAGGACTCCAGCAGTCAATGCCTGTGATCCTCGTTTGACCATTTTCGACAAGCGCATAACTTAATTTCTGGATCGTCTGGTTGCGATGATCAACAATGATCTGCTGATTAGGCTAAAGACGCTGTATTTGTTCTTCGACGTGGATCCTATGCTGTCTGTCCAGTCTACACTAAGAATCTAAGGCGTTCTACTTCTGCATATGTACACAGAGTACACGTGAACGGCGTCTTTGTTGACTGTAATTAGTTCGAAACCCATCGAAGAGCTATCTATCGCAACTGCTGACATGTGAATTAATGGCATGATGCGTAGCTTCGAAAGTGGCATTACAAGCCTGAGAATGAGAAACTCGTCGCAATGAAAGGGACTCGAAATCCTGAAGTGGCCGTCAAAATTACGATCTCAATGTTTTGACTCTGTCAACGGATAATCACCAGGGGCATGACTGGAACGGCTGTCAGAAGCTCAAAGGCTGACTTATTGGCGAATTCTCCGTTGGCGGTCCAGCACAACAGACAAAGCATGGCAGGCGAATGTGAATACATATGATACATCGCATAAAGCCGCCCCCTAACATGGTCTAGCATGGCCTCAGACTCGAGGACCTGGTTTCATCTCTTTAGACTTTTAAAGCTGCATGGGGAGCTCTTTTAGGACAGCTACCACATAACCTCGTGACTTCAAGCAGGCGCTTCAGACTGCATTGCATTGCATCATGAGTGGCGAGGAGTTTGAGATATGTTCGAACAACCACCGCATTGACAATAGTCACAGAACCAGGAACTCGGGAGACAGCGAATGAAAGGCTAATCGGCGATGGACTAGACTCGAGACGACGATGTACGGCGCTGCATGTGGAAATCCGAGCATTGGAGCAAAGGGGAATAGCGGGAGAGAGCTGGCGTAGAGATCACTGATCGACGGGATCTGTCGACTATTGATGTTAGCCAGCCTAGTGGGGTTTGGCTGACTCGCTGCCACGCATTTTTGCTTGGCCTTTCTGCGGCTCATGCTCTGTTGTAGCTCTTCGACTTGAGGAAGGAGATCAGAACAAAAATGCCTGGGAGAGGATTAGATAGCAGCTACGGAGTACATGCAAAAGGGATGGCAGAAGTGCCAAGAGTTCCAAGAGCTCCAGTGAGAAGCTCACAGCCTTTTCCTTATCTCAACCTGTGTCAACTGCTTGCGTGGTACTGCAAAAGAAGGTTCAGAACAGCAGCACTGCCTTACTTTCTGACCACTGCACTCTTGCATTGGGCTCAAGAGGGTGCAACTCTGAGAAGACACAAAATCAAGAAGAAATCACTTCTGGGACATCAAGACTGACTGCTCTTCCATTTGGCCGGAGGATTGGGCTGTCTGATGATCCTCCGCATGGCCCGTACACCATGTGAGAAAGTCGCAAGTACTAGTAAATCAAGTCATAGCTTCGTCTCATGCTTGATACAGTTGATGTATGAGAGTTTCACGATTCAAAGCACAGTCAAAAAGCCGAAAACCCAGGGACAGTACCTAGGTAATTGGCCGTACAGTAACAGCAATACCGCGCATGAAGAAACTTTGGGAAATGCAAAGATGGGGGCGACGGTCCGCAAGCGCTAACCAGATCCAGAATATGTACATCTTTTTAACACAAACAATGGTCCAATGAGACACACAGGCTACAGCAATTCTGAAGATGTGGTGGTTTCCCATCAGTGGAGGCCTGAACTTGGTATTTGTCATGCAATTCTTGTCACGAGTACGGAATGATCATCATGTCATGACTCGAAGTGTAGGTAGGAGTATCCATTGAGAAGAGCCATATGGGCGTTACCCTAGGTCCTTAGTCTCTTGGATAAACACACCCCTGGGACTCCCTGAAGCTAAATCCGGCTTCAATTGGCGCTAATGCAGGAACTGACGAAGGATGCTGGGAATCATTAGGGTAATCCGTAGGGATCTGATTCATGGTATCCGTCCGAGTGCCTGATACAGTGGCAGGCTGTCGTCAACTCTCGAGATACAGAGTATTGTGCCTAAAATTTTGCCTCGCTGAGGCAGATTCAAGGTGACACATTGTTTCAACATGCTACTAGAGACTTGAAATGATGCTGCTGAGGTAGGGGCTGACCAGCGCTAATGTACAATGAATGGATTTCTTCGGGGAGGACGGGGGAAACCAGTGGTTCAGTACTGACGGGAGCATGTAAATCAGACTGTTAAAGAACAGTGGGATAACTGTTAACCAACCGCTGAGCTCTGAAACCTCATGCTGATGTGCTATTCCACTGGGATGACTGCTTCTGCAGCATGGACAAATATGCATGACTGGCCAGCGGTTTCAAGCAGTGTGATGATCTCGAGGCTAATCCGCTCTTCTCTATTCTCATCCTAATTCATCACGACGCACACCAGAAAAAGCAAGATAAGACAGAATGACTGCCCAAGCACACTGCGATCCACAGTGCATATGGAATCGCTCGGAAGATGGCGAGTAGTCACCACTCACCACAGCTTATTATCAGAGTACTCTATCTATTCACCCCAGATTCTGCTAGAATTTTTTGCAGTTTTAACTATTCCTCGAATTGTTTGTATCTTACTTTCTTAAGCTAGGTACAGTAGTCTCCTTGAAGTCTCCTGCCCGAACCCCAAAGTTAGCACTCTGTACGGATTGATTGCGCCCAGGCCGCCACCCCCTAGAACTGCACGGGAAGCAGACTTGGGCGGCTCGACTGTCATGACATTTGATACGGTACCTGATACCTTGATACGAAATTTCCTAGGTCGACCAATACCAAAGTACACCGTACCATGGTAATAAGCACTCAGTCCCCGATAACCTCCGCCGGGCATACAACATGGTACCTAATCAGGTAACTTGTGTACTTCTCCGCTAAATAGGTCAGACCTTGAGTGACTCGGATAAATGAGATGAAGAGATTTGGTCAGGACAAGGAGTCCGCAGTTCATTCAACGCTGGCACATAATCTTGAAAATATCAGTATGAATCACATAACCATACCAGAAAACCAAGTAAGGTGAGAATGAAAGTACCTTACTTCGGTGTATTGACCGACCAAAGTGGGAGGCGTAACAAGTTCCCCGATCACCTCACCCAAGCGGGCGGTAAATACGGCGCTGGTATCAAACCAACTCAGCCCAGCGGCCGAATCCTCGCAGTTCCGGCCGGCGATCATCCAATCACATCACTTCCCTCCACACCTTCTGCTCTCCTCCAAGCAACCTGCATCAGTCCATCAAGTCCCAACTCCACTCTGCATCCTTTTCCCTTTTCCCCCCAAGTTAACTGTATCTCATCTGTCTTTTCGGTCTTGTCCATACTCCTTCTCCTTCGGCTGTCAATCCTTCAGTTCTTCTCCGCCGTCCCTTCTTCCTTTTTGTCTCCTCTCAGTCGGTCTCTCAGTCTCTCCCCTTTCCATTTCAGGACCTTCTTTTTGTTTTCTTTTTCCTATTTCATTTTTAGCTAATACAGTCGTTCCCTTCTTTTTCCTTTTTTGTGGATTGTCTATTATATCACCTGTCTTCGCGCTGCCACTATACATACTGTCATTCATTTATCTTCCCTCTCGCATCCGTCGAGATCTACTGTCCATCTACTAGTACCTACAACGAACCCACCACCAGCTATCAGTCATTCTCTTCGTCCACGACACCAACCTCATACCTCTTCGATGAATTAAAGATTTGCTCCGGTCTCGCAGTCGTCACTTCTCCACCGTCGATTCGACCCTATCAGACCATTCACATCTTCTCCCCTATTCCTCGAGCATCCTAACTTCCACCGTTCCTCCGCCATGAACTACCTGCACCACCCATACGCCTTCGGCGGTCATAATGCGGTTCCATTCGATCAATCCATGGCCTACGACCCATCCATGGCACATCATGCTATGGTGCACCCAATGGATGGCTACCTATACCCTCACGCACCATACGAGATGGTTGACTTCTACCATCAACCGATCATGGACTACGAAGAATACGCGGAGAATCTGTCCCGTCCGAGGTTGACCAAAGAACAAGTGGAGACGCTCGAGGCTCAATTCCAGGCTCACCCCAAGCCAAGCAGCAATGTCAAACGTCAATTGGCCGCTCAGACAAATCTGAGCTTGCCTCGAGTTGCTGTTAGTTCATCGCTTTAGACAATCAATTATGTGACATGCGCTGACTCCGAACAGAATTGGTTCCAAAACCGACGAGCAAAGGCAAAGCAGCAAAAGAGACAAGAGGAGTTTGAGAGAATGCAAAAGGCCAAAGCAGAGGCCGAGGAAGCTGTTCGGAGTAAGACCGACGGTGCGGACAACACATCTGACTCGAACCAGAGTGATCAGACGACCAAGGAGGAGACGGATAAAGCCAATGACACCAAGAAATCAGAGTCGAGCGCATCCGGGGAGCAAAAGAAGAGCTCTGCTTCGTCCCGATCTAAGCACCACAAATCAAGGAGCGAGTCGGCTCGAGAGGCCACTTTCGCCTCGTTGCAGAGAGCTCTCCACGCTGCCGTGGCGGCTCGTGAGCATTACGGCACCGAGTGCGAGCAGGACCGAAATGATGACGACGACAGTGTTGGAGGATCCGTATCCCCAACGACGTTTCCCCTGAGCGCTCGGGCCAATGACCACGATGACTCGGAAAGCGCCCACAGTGCTCTCAACACCCCCTTTTCAGGATGGGAGAGTGCCAAAGATTCTTCAGTATCCTGGACCTCTCAGAGCGCTCAGGAGCCCTTCGGATATACTGGCCTGAACACCCCTTCATTTCCCTCGACGGAAGGTTCGCTGCAGCGTGTCAGTCAAGGTGAGGAATGGGCGAGCCAATTGGCGACGTCGGCCGAATCGATGCCTAGCCACCGTGCATCCGTCGATGTTGGTTCCTCGTCATACGGAACGATCCATTACTCTGTCAAGCCGGAGCTGTCAAGGCGAGGCTCGTCCGATGAGCTCGCCAGCACCTTGCAGGGCATTGGAATCGACACCAGCGGCTCGCCTTATGGCTTGTCGCAGCTGACTGGCCGGTCTTCATGGAAAGACGCTGGGAAAGAGCTTGACCTTGCTGCGCGAAGAAAGCGGCCGAGGCCGGCGGCCATCGGCACTTCGCGATCTGCCTCGATGCTGGCCGGGCCGTCTGCCATGTCACCGACTATGCGCCTGCCGAACGGCACTGGTCACGGAGTGGTGAGACAGTCCAAATCTGCTCAGAGTCTCAGCTCGCGGTACGCTGGTGTCCGAAAGGCGTCGGCCGCGCAGCGTTCGCCCTTCAACCTGTCCACCTTTGCCGAGGCGGGCACTTTGAATAGCAAGGCGGAGATGTCAAGCATGCTGCAACCTACGGTCACCACGGGTGCGTTGGCTCCACCGACACCGCTGACTCCGGAGGACCTTCACCACTTGCTTCCAGCCACTCCATCTGACGGTGGGTACTGCCTGTCCGCACAACCGACGAGCCACCTGTTCCCCGCGACTCAGCCCATGCAGATCAACATCGCGTCTCCTCCGGCTACTCCGCTCGCGGTGGACATGATGTCGTCGTATTCCTACCATGGCGTCGCTCCGCCGATGTCTGCCCCTGCTCACTACTCGACCTTTCCGGAGTATCCCTCTTGTGACGGGGCCTCTTTGACGGGCCGGAGCTGGGCTGACCCTACGTCTATGCCTCCTTCGGAGCAATCGTTCGCCGCCCGCTGCCAGATGGAGATGCCCACTGTGTCGTACGCGCAAGCGGTCGATCCGCCTGGTGCAACTGCGGATATCGGGCAGGTTTCTGGACCCCACTCCTTGATGTTCTCAGCCAAAGATATCGACATGCACATGTCGACGGGATCGCCAGCTGAGGATGCGCGGCCCACCGAATTTCAGATCCAAGAGTTTCCTGAACAGCAAGAGATCCACCGATTCGTCGCTCAGCAGCTTCCATCGCACAAACCCAAGGCCTACACATTCGCCGCCAATTCTACGCCACACAATTTTCAGAACTGAGCGGGCCATCTTCTGAAATGATTGACTGTTGCACTACGTGCTCTCGCGGCTTTGGCCGCCCTGTTTCAATATTGACCATTTTATACATAGCTTGGGCCTGTTGTTTATACTCGGAGCATTTCTGTGCATTATACTGTTGGAGTCTTGGGCTTCTTCACTTCTTTCTATTGAGCTTGGGGTTCGCCTTTTCTGTCGATACATTTGGGCTTTGCATCTGGTTGGGAAGCGACGGTTATACATACTTGAGGCTTTACTATGACGTACTACAATCTTACCACCTAATAACATAATATGGATGAGGATTACACTGCACGTTCAGATTTTGAGGAGTTCATCAACAGACAGTAACCGTACATAGAGTGGAACTCATGATCCACAGACTACAGTTCGTATCTAGACTAATCTCCGACCTGAATCTAACATCAATTAAACCACCAATGGTGATTGCACACAATGCCTCGAGCTGGAGATTTTACAGAGTAAAGTACTTATCCACATGGCAGGTTAGAATGGCTCCGCGCGACTAGCGACGCACGTGCGGGAGTGTAGGCACAGAATAGGCCGGACAGTGCCTGAGGCCGCGCACTTGCAAGACATCTGATATTATCACGCTAGCTTGACTGTCGCCAGGGTATAAAAATGGCGACGACCGTCCATCTGTATCTGCATCTGCATCTGCATCCGAACGTGAATCGGAATCACAATGAAGAGCGCATTGAGTCTAGTCGCTCTCGGCCTCGCCGCGACGGCGCAGGCAGCTTACTATGAGTACACCACGGTGACGGGGTACTTCCAGCAGGACGAGGCCAGCACCGACGCGTCGACGTTTGACTACGTATGCCATGCCAACCTCCTCACAAGGTGATCTGAACTAAAGCCCCCCAGACAGCAACCAACTTCGGCCTCATCAACCGCACCTACGACGCCGAGGGCACCAGCACCAGCACCAGCAACCTCTCGCAGTGGCAGCGCTTCTACAACCACGTCCACGCCCTGAACAAGCACGCCCCCCACAAAACCGAATACAAGGTTTTTTTCTTCGGCCGCCACGGCGAGGGCTGGCACAACGCCGCAGAGAGCTTCTACGGCACTCCCGCCTGGAACGTACGTCCTCCCCCCGCCTCCCCTCCCTTCCCCTTGCACCCCCTGGCC